GGTGTGGTAGACATTGGGGAGCCCCTTTTGAGGGCCTTACCCTGCCTGGGGAGTGGAGGAGGGATGGCTAGGGGCAGGTGGTATGTTGCGGGGGAGGGGAAGGAGAGGGAGAAGGGATTGACATCTGAAGCAAGCTTGTTCCTAATTTGAACTAATAGAGCATGTATGTAATTTTAAGGGTGCATTTCTAGAAATCTCCAAGGGCTCTTTAGAAGAACAAGAACTTCCGATTCGGCATCTGAGCTATACAGAAGTAATAGAAACAACTGAGTCACACATACATTACTTTCTCAGCTTCTTCAGATTCTACTGAGAATATGACTGTTGGCAGGTCAAAAAATTTCAGTGTTTCCGTCTCTGTGAGAAGGATCTGTATGTTCTTTTGCAGCTCTTCCTTTGTTATAGTTGTTTCAGGTGTGGGCCTCAGAACACGAACATCTAAAATACACATCACAGTATGACCATCTTGGAGCAGTTAGTGTGCACACTTCTAATTGCTAAGACACAATGATGACACACAGACAGCAGGTGTGCATGCTGTCTAGTCACTGAGACACAATGATGACACACACACAGCAAGTGTCTTTAAAGAGCAGTATATTAACTGGAGAAGCCCGTAACAGTCTGCTTTGCTGCTACAGGTATCAGTCCTAGCACAATCTCAAACCTCTGGTCACAGCCCCAAGGGCAATCCTGTTACAATTATCCTGTTTTATTACTAGGGATTTTAAGGTAGCTGTTTATGCCACTGAGAAACAATATGGGGGCATGTGTATTGTGAAAGGCACCTGACCCTTTGAGGACTCAGCCACCCGATTATTTTGTTTGTTTGTCTTTGTTTTATTTTCTATAGTTCACCTCCAATCGTCTTCAACAAGGGATAGCGGAATCTTTAACAGGTCTGGTTGACTATAGGTGTGAAATGGTCTCAACTTTCACACAAATAAGTAACATGTTTTTTTTTTTTAAAAAAAAAGCTTAGTTGAGAATTGTTCTTTCAAGGTCAGTGAAGAAATGTGTTGGGATTTTGATGGGGACTGCATTGAATCTGTAGATTGCTTTTGGCAAGATTGCCATTTTTACTATGTTGATCCTGCCAGACCCAGGATAGCCAAAACAACCCTGTACAATAGAGAGACTTCTGGAGGCATCACCATCCCTAACTTTAAGCTCTATTACAGAGCTAGAGTCCTGATAACAGCTTGGTATTGGCACAAAAATAGACAGGTAGACCAATGGAATAGAGTTGAAAACCCTGAAATTAACCCACACACCTATGAACACTGATTTTTGACAAACAATCCAAATATATACACTGGAACAAAGAGAACATCTTCAACAAATGGTGCTGGCATAACTGGATGAAAACATGTAGAAGACTACAGATAGATCCAAGCCTTTCGCCATGCACAAAACTTAAGTCAAAATGGATCAAAGACCTCAACATAAACCCAGCCACACTGAACCTATTAGAAGATAAAGTGG